TTTATCAGGGAGGATTGGATTTAGAGAATGAGTGAAGTCTGGTTCATTGAGATGAAGCATGTGGAGAATCATTTGTTATGGTGTATCTAAATATACCCTAAAACCTCAGGCAGTCGTGAGTGGGGGGAGCTTTCGAAGGCATCGAGTCTAGCATTTGTGATTGGTTCATTGTCTAGCACTGGGATTGGCGGTGTGAGTGCTGCCACCCAGGGTAGGTAGTCAGCATACAGTAAAAGGGACAGAAGGAGGTGTGTTTTTCCCTTTTGCCATTTTGCTTGTTGCGGCTGCCATGAATGGCTCCCTTTAACCACAGCACCCTACCTTGGAGCCAGCTGAGTATGGACTGAAACCTCCAAAAACTGTAAGCTAAATAACCCTTTTCTTCCTTAACTATGGGTGTTAGATATTTTGTCACAGCAAACAGAAATGATGGAGATCGATAGTGGAATAGTTTCAGAGTGCTGAGAGAAAGCTGTCAACTTAGAATTCTGTGCCCAACAAAATATGTCAGGAAGGAATAACAAATACATTTTCAGATGAACAGAAACTGAGGAAATGGTCACTGGAGAAATTAATATAAAAATTTCAAAAGGATCTTTCATCAAAAGTAGAGAAATAACCCATTAGTAAAGAAAGGATAAACGTGGGAGAAAGCTATGAATATCAAGTGTTTTAAAACAATGATAATGTCTTAACCTGAGCAACTATTTTGAAGATAACAATATGCAATACAACAACCGTAGTTGAATTCCTGTCATCGTGTTTTGAAATCCTACATCACTATTGGTTTTTGTTATTATTGTCATCTTTTGTGGGTTTTTGTTTGCTTCTTGATTTTTCTGTTTTTTTCTCTTTAAAATAAAAGCATTAATACACATGCACACACAAAAACAACAATAATGTCTTTAAAATTATCTACTCAGCATTACAATAAAAGACAGCAATATTTTGAATTTAGGTCAAAAAAAGGCAAATGCAATGTCTTGGTTCCCTTTCTCTTGTTACTGAGACAAAATACCCAACACCCAAAATGAAAGGAGGAAGGGTTTATTTAGTTTGCAATTTTGGAGGTTTCAGTGCATCCTCAGGTGGTTCCAAGGCAGGGTGGTGTGGCTAAGGGGCAGCCATTCATGGCCACAAGCAACACCAGCAAACTGGACCGCATGAGGATTTTGAGGGACATCCAGATGCAAATGTAACATGGAGTTATAGTTTGATAATTCAAAGATGCATTTTATAATTTCTGGGATGGATACTAACTGTAAAACAAAAGATCTTATCACTGACAAGCTGATGGGGTAAAAAACTAGAATATTGAAAAGTAATCCACAGAAAGCAAGAAAGAAGAAGAAAAAAAGTTTTTTTTTTTATTGATACCAGCGATCGAACTCACATCCATGCGCTTAGAAGGCAGGCGCTTATGCCACTGAGCTAAATCCCCAGCCTCGGAAAAAAAGTTTTAAGCTAGGGAAAATACTAAGATAGTAGATAAACTCAAATACATTAATTACATTACATTTTAATATACTACATTACAAATATGAGATTGTAATTTATCAGAGGAAATTAAATTTCAAAAACCTCAACTATATACTTCTAAACACAGAGATTCTGAGAATATAAGGATACAAAATGTATAAACATAGAATACAATATGAATATCCCATGAAAATACTAACCAAAAGAAAGTTGGTAATATCAAACATAATAGATTTAATACAAAACATCATTAGAACTTAACAGGACATTACATAATAATTAAAACTTCAGTTTGCCCAAAAGATGAGACAATTTTCAATTTGTAAACACACAGTAATTAAATCTCAGGAAAATGTGATAGCACTGAATGGTAAAACAGACATATTCCCAGTGAAGTTACAAAATATGAACAGATTGCTCTCAGTAATTGAAATTACAACTACAAAAAATTAGTAAGAGTTTGTAAAATGTGAACAAGGCAACTGAACAAATCACGTCTGTTTAAGCACATATATAGGGCACTATTATCCAACATCTTCATAATACACATTTTTAATTATACATAAAACATTTACAAAATTGGCCAGTTTACAAAAGCAACTCTTAGAAATTTTCTTAATGATTGAGATTATTCAGATTATGTTCTTTGGTGACAGTAAAAAATATTTTAGATATAATTAACATAACAATCACAAACTCAGGTGTTTCTAAGTTAGATGGTCTAGTTCTAAATATTATTCATCTGTCAGAGAGTTCACAATGAAAATTGGAAAATATTTTGAACTGGTTAAAAATCAGAATAACAAACTTGTGATCTATAGTGTAGGGCCATTCTCAGAGGACAATCTTCGGGGATGGAACTCACAACCTCGCGCTTGCCAGGCAGGCCCTGTGCCTGCTAAGCTATATCCTCAGCTAGAGAGCCATCTTGAGAGCCTGTATGGAGGTGCTAGCAGGGGAGGAAATGGGCCTCTGGTCAGGGATGATGGTCCTCTTCCATGGATTGTGCAGCTTCAGGAGGGACACATGGAGCTGTGAGGGAGGAAGGTGACACCCGCCTAGCCGGCCAGGTCAGCCAGCTCAGCCCTGGCAGTCAGTGGAGTGACAGGTGTCACAACCAAACCATCCTCACATGCTCACACGTTTGTAATTTTAGGTGTATACATTTACAGGTAGCCTAAGATAATCAGCAATACCTGGATTTATTGGAGAGATTAGAAAAAGGACAACAAATTAAAACTCAAATTTTAAAATACATGCGGCAGGAAAAATTGGGCAAGAAAAAGCAGGCATTAAGAACAGAAAGTTAGATATAACACCCTAAGTAGCTTCACATACTAAAAGTAGCTTGAGGGCTACAAATTTTTGGAGAGGCTGGACAACTTAGCAAAACCTTGTCTCAAAACAAAAACAAAAACAAAAAGTGCAGGCTGGGGTTTGGGCCATAGCTCCTGGGTTTGGTCCCCAGAACTCCAAACAAATAATGATGAAAGATATGATGATAATGAAACAAATTTAGACTGTAGGTAGCCCTTGCTGTGCGTGATAGTACATAGCTATAGAAACAATTTAAAAAGTTGAATTTTTAAAAAGTGGTCTTAATAATCATGAGAGGGGGTTATTTCTGTGGCTTACCTCTAACAATTTTTGTCAGAACACTAAAAATGATATTACTGAAGGCTACAATTTTTTAAAAAAGAGAAAATATTTTAACTTTTAATATTTCTACTATTTTAAATAACAATGTATTAAGTGTTTATTTTTCAATTTCATTTTACTGTCATTTTAAAATTATTAAAACTGATTCACAATCAGGAAAATTAGGAAATACTATGTCAGTTTTAAAAGTTACTTAAAAACTTTATATTGGAATGCATTTTGCTTTGTTTTGCTTTGTTTTGTGGTGCTGGGGATTGAACACTGGGCCTAACACCTACTACGCAAGGGCTCTATTACTGAACTACATTACCAGCCCATTACCAGCTAAAAGGCAGATTATAGTATTTTGGCAATATAATGTATTTATCTGTCTATTTTTAACAGAGTAAAAACTCTGCTGGGAAATACACCACAATGTTAAATGGATTTTTTTTCCCTGTGATATAGCATATCTTTTCTAGAATCTTGCTATATTTCTGTATTGGTCATTTTTCTCTCTTATGCGTAAATATATAAGAGAAATATAAATATTTTAAAAATTCTGCTATATTTGCTATATTTGCAAATATTTGCAAAATATTTTTCTGCTAAATAAAATTCTGCTATATATTTGCTATATTTCTATATTGGTCATTTTTCTCTCTTATGCGTAAATATATAAGAGAAACATAAATATTTTTAAAATTCTGTCCAAGATAAATATCATTGATCTTTCTGTGTATTTTTAGTTAGAAATAATTAGCATGTTCTTTTCCTTAGAAAGTAACTTTTCTTGTTTCTAAACTACTTTGTTTTATTATATTTGATGAATTTTATTTTTGATAAACTTACATACTAAAAATTAGAATTGAAATTTTCTACTGTGAAAGGAGATTGGTGATCCTCCATAGATAATTTTCCTATATATGTTTTAGCGGTATGAATGTAGTTTTCTTTGTAATTTTTCACCTTGAAGTTTGTTTTCTGTAAGTAACATTTTCTGCTTATGTTCAATACATGTGAAGTCTTTTTAGTATTGTAGAATTTTTCTCCTTTCGATTGGTATCACTTAAATTAAAACAGTGTCTTTCAAGTTACATTTTCTGTACTTTTCAAATACAAGACAGGCAGGCAGGCAGATAGCTGCTTTAAAGGTTGGAGTATTTGTAGTTTGATGTGAAGATTAAAGATCTTCAACCATATGGTACACGCCTATAATCCCAGTATTCAGGATGCTGAGACAGGAGGATTATTGTGAGTTTTGAGGGCTGTGTGGACTACATAGTGGGATCAATATCAGGCTAGGGTACATGGTGAGACTCTGTATCAAAAAAACAAAAAAATATATTCAGAATTATAGTCAAAATATGTAAAGGTGTGCTACAAAAAAGTTTCTAGTAGTCTTGGCTTTATAACCTGCAACCATTTTATTCTACTCTGTTTATAACTGAAGCTAGTTAAGAATTCAAATGGGTTTTATGAAACATGATAGAGAAAATAACAAATTCTACACTAATCATCATTTTTGTTTAATTGACTAAAACTAACATTTTAAGTTTCTTCTGAATAGCTTACTCTAAGGTATAACATCTAAATTTTACCTTTTGCAAAAATTAAAATCTCTATTATAAGACATTCTGAACTCTGCTTGAATTATTATCGATTGAATGCATTTGAAATTTTTCAACTTCATGTTCACATAACAATATTTAATGGTGATTCAACACTTCTGATTTTTTTCTGAAGGTTTTCTGAAGGTTTTTTGTTTTCTGAAAGGTTTTTATGTAAAGAATACATTTTGAACCGTTATTATTTAATCGACCCACACACAGAAATTCCTGTTACTAAAATGAATTTCAATTCTTCTATTGTTTGTCCCAAAGGTTGCACAATGAGTTAAAAGATGCTGTTGAAAAGCAATTAGAGGACCTTCCTTTTAGCGCAGAAATAGGAAATAATACATTTACAGATGATGAAACAGTCAGGAACCTTCAAGAACAACTGCAACTAGCCAGTCAAGTAAGTGACATGTTTTTTAAAATGCATACTTGTCATAGTTACTTTTCTCATTGCTGAGACAAATACTTGACACCCAGACTTAAAGAGGAGAGGTTTATTTAGCTCACAATTCTTAAAGGTTTCAGTCTATAATTGGCTGACTCCAAGGCAGGGTAGCTTCCCTGAGGAGAGCAATTCATGGCGGGCAGAAGACAGCAAAACCAACAAGTGAGAGTGCAGGAGAGGGCAAGCCTCTTTCTGTACCGACTTTTTTTTAATCCAGACTCCTGGAGTGAGAGTGATGCCAATCCAATCAGTGGACTGATCGTGCAATCACCCACATTTAATCACAGTACCCTTAATCCCAGCACTGAACCATGTATTGACCACAAACTCTAGATTCAGCTACATTTGGAAAATCCCTGGCTAAAAGTACATGAGGCTTTTGGGCTTTATTTAGATATAAACTATAACAGTACAGAACTTGCATCTTTTTAAAACATTTGTTCATCTTTATATGCAAATGACAACAGTAATAAAATTGTCACCACTTGATTTTCTATAATGTACAAAAGTTATAAAGCCCTATCAAAATATCTTCAGTATTACATAGTTAACAAATACTCTTTTTAATTGAATTGTAAAGTTTTTGATTTGCTTTTTCCCTGGTTTTACTGTTAAAGAAGAATCTTAAAGAAAAAATTCATCAATTGTATTTCTTCCCTGGTTTTAAATTTTAAATTTTTTGTGTGTTTTCTTCTATTTTATTCCATTTTCAAAGATTGTGGTATGATATTTCTCTAACAATATACTTCTTCTAGAAATAAACTTTGACTGTTTTTCGTGTTTCATAGTCAGTGAAATCTTTGGGAAAGTATAGTGTGTTCTAGATATCCTGATTTTCAGTGATGTAATTTTTGTGAACTTATGCATAAAAGAGTTTTTCTTTACAACTGAAGTGTGTCATATTTTGTGCAAATTTGAATCTCCAGTCTACTTTTCTTTATCTTTTTTTCTTTTGGTACTGAGACTCTAACTCAGGACCTCACATTTGCCAGGAAGCCCTCAGTCTATTTTATTTTCCTTTCCTTTCCTTTCCTTTTCTTTCTCTTTCTTTCTTTCTTTCTTTCTTTCTTTCTTTCTTTCTTTCTTTCTTCAAGTTTATTTTCTAACTGTGAGTATAGAAAAAAAATCTCTTCGTGTTTCAGTTTCTTCATTTATAAATGGAATTAGATATTCTGAGTTTCATGCCAGTTTGATTTTATGATTATCAGTTAAGAGTCATATTTACTTGGAACTTTGGTTTTAGAATTTTTTACTTGATACATTAGGTAAATCAAAGAAGATGCTGGGCACAGTGGCAAATGCCTGTAATCCCACAACAATGGGAACCAGGAAGATTGCAGGTTCAAGCCCAGCCTGAACAATTTAATGATTTAGGGATATCCTATCTCAGAATAAAAAATAAATAAAGGACTGGCATGACCCTAGGTTCAGTCCCCAGCACTGCAAAACAAAAACAAAAACAAAACCTGTATTTATCTTGTTAAGATATATTTACACTGAATTTCTTGAAATGCATTAGTGGAAGTAAATAAAAACTTAGACTTTATCATCAGATACTAAATTATGACTCAAAAAGTGTGCCGCAATGTGTAATTCTTATTCCTAAAATTTTATAAAATGTTAAAGATCTATAAAAATAATGTCAAATGTTAATTCTGCTTTTATATATATATATATTTTTATTAATTTATTCTTAATGGTCTGATAAAATGTATAAAGTTATAGTATTTATTTTTGGGTTGAAGTACCTTTTAGTGTATGAAAGCTAGATAAATCCAACTAGAGAGATAAAAGCTAAACTAAATACAACTTAAAATTGATATATTGAGAATAAAAGAAAATTCTTTTTACATTGTTCTTTATCAAAATAGAGTTGACCTTCCATTTCTATGGGTTCTATACCTGTGGATCAAACCAACAATAGACCAAAAACATGGGAGGAAAATTGCATCTGTATTAAACACATGCAAAATTTTCTCATTCCCTAAACAAATATAAAAACTATTTACTTAGCATTTATATCTAGTAGTAAGAGTAATCTACAGATGGTTTCAAGTATATGAGAGGATGCACATAGATTGTATACAAATACTTCTCCATTTTATGCAAGGGACTTGTCCACAGATTTTGATATCCTGTGGTCAGTGGTAGGGGTCCTGGATTCAGTTATCCTGTGGGTACATAGGGATCACTGTAATAATCGTAGTGTTTGACTGTCAATTCAAATACCTTCACTCATTCCACATTGATGATAAATGGGTGCTGTTGCTTCTGGGTCTTAAGGAACATACTGGTTTTTGGAAGAAGTATAAAAGGTAATGAAGTATTGTCTTCTGGTTATATTCTTTGTTTGGTTTTCATTTTACTTTCAAGCTCCTGGATCTTGGAAAACTTAGTGCCGCTCTTCCCTCATTTACATATGACAGTAAAAGTAATTTTTTATTTTATGGAGTTCTTATGATAATTAAATTAAAAGTCCTCTCAAAGTATTCAGTATAATGCTGAGCACACATGTAAAGTTAATAAATTTGTTCTATTTTTATCATAATCATCATCACCATTATTGAACAGCAAGACAATCAAGTTAACACAATTATATATGTTGTGTCGAGTAACCGTGTTGCTTTAGGAACTAATAGAAAGAGTACATTATTAAGTCCCATTAATTAGTTTTGAATATTTATTCCATTATAGTAGTGTGATTTGTAAAAATCTTTCTGGACAACAGGTTGACACTGAGAAGCTTAAAAATGTTTATAGCCTTTGACCAAGAAATGTTCATAAACTCTGACCAATTAGATAATGATATTATATAGATTCTAGGAATTTGTTCTAAGCAATTATATCAAAAAGGATAAATAAATATGCTCATACAATATTTATAATAATGAAAAATTGAAAATAATTTAACACAAAAAGTATAAAAATTAATTAAATTTTAGTTGGCCCCAAAACTAAATTCATCCAGCTTAAGAAATGATACACAGTATTAGCATAGTAATGAAGCACAGATTACTGCACACACCCACTTGCACAATCTGAGATAATCTGATTAGAATGCATTTCCAACATTTCTGAGATGATGTTGATGATGCTGGTTCTCAGAGAATCATTAAGAGAATCTTCATTTTGTAACTACTAGTGCAGGTGATTGTTTTCAGCACTCAGCTTTGGGAAGCAGTGAGATCTTTTATATATGAGGCATTTTTATGATGAGTCATTAAGAAAATAAAGTGAAGAAAGGGAATCCGCTTGCATCCTGGTAAGCAGCCATGGCTTGCACGAGCTGCGGGTGACCCAAGGAGAGAACCAGCCAGCCAGCATCTCCCAACATCTGTTCCATGTTGGAACTTAGGGCGCCAGACAACAAAGAAACCCACTCATCCCCTGGTAACCAGCCTTGGCTCAAGCAAGTGGCTGGCGACCCAGGGAGAAAACCAGCCAGATAGCGTCTCGGAGATCCATGCCATGTTGGAACTTAGGGCGCTGGGCAACAAAGACACTCTCTAGCCTCCCTCTTATGCAGCCATGGCTCCAGTGAGCAGCAGGCAACCCAGGGAGAGAACAAGGCAGGCAGTATCTCCCGAGATCTGCTCCATGTTGGAACTTAGGGTGCTGGGCAACAAAATAACCCTCTTGCCTCTCTGGTAGGGAGCTGTGAGCCTACTGGCGCGCAGGCTGAGAATCAAACATCCCATCCCTACCTCCATTAGCAAATGGGAGCCAGAGGTGTGAGCATTTCTTGGGAGGATGACCATGTGCAATATAGCAAATAAGAGGGATTTTCTCCTACTATCTCTTTGAAGGCAAATATTGTTATCACTGTTTTGCTTTGTTTTGATTAATTGCATTGCTCTATTCAATAGTTGGTTTTGATAGGTTTTATGATGTTCTGTATTGGTTTGATTTTGCTATACCTGATTGAAAGGACAACTATTGTGAAGATAACAAGATATACTGTGGTACCTATTACTGTTATCCTGGTCACCTGCTGTGACGTTCTGTATCAATTTCATTGTATTGTCTTGTTCTGTTATATTTTACTACCTCCAAAATAATAAAATTTCGTGTATAAAAAAATAAAGTAAAATAAAAACTAATTCTTAAGGAAAATGAAGTCATAAGAAAATGAAATGAATTATTCAACCAGGAATTAGTGATCTAATCCAAGTCTTCAGGCAGCAGATATTGTGTTTGTCTACAAATTTCTATACTATGTAAGTTTTAGGCAAAATTAATCATTGTGTTAGAAGACAAGATAATGATTGTTTGGGGGCAGATTATTGTAACTGGAAGAGGTCACAAGAAGAGCATCTGCCTTCCAGGCGATAATGGTCGCTCTTGAACTGTGTGCTGGTTGCAATGAATGTATTTACTTTATAAAACTTCATGATCTGTGTGTTTTCTGAATGCCTGTTATATTTCAGTAAATATTTCATAGAAATGTATAAACTTATAATGTTCTAAGTATGTGCTCATCGTGTTCTTAAAATGAGTATCTTCATTACAGTAAACTCAAAGGTTGGCTTACTCTTTGACATGGGATTTGAAAGCTTAGGTTTTAGACCCAAAAAGATGAAGATTTCTCTCTGATTCAGTTAGCAGTTTGTTGAGGAACTCTAGACAAGCTTCCTGGAGCTTAGTCTCCACTTCTTTAGACAGTAAGAGTTTCTGTTTCTTAGGTTTACATTTCACAGCAGTTTTGATTTCAGGGCCCCTCTTTAGGATGCTTGAAAGTTATGTAGAACCCTAAAGAACTTTCTATTTTTGTGGGTTATATCTATCAATATTTTTGTATTATAAATTAAAACACAATAGGAGCATAAAGTACACGTTCTGTTAGCCTGAGAATAGTAACATCACATAAAATTTGGAAAATTCTACTATGTGAGAATGAGAATGAAAAAAGCAAATAGTGTTTTCATATTATTATAAAAATAATTGTGACCTCAAGATCACCTCACAAGATCTTGGGAACTGTAAGGCTTACCATCCACACTTTGATAATGCTGTGTTGAAAAAATAGATAAGGATTTGAAAAAACTCTCATTGTAAAATATCAGGTAAGGGCCAGGGATATAGCTCAGTGGTGCAGCACCTGCCTGACAAGTGCAAGGTTATGAGTTCGATTCCTGGTACCAAAAAAACTCAAATAAACAAAACCCAGGTAAAAATAGTACAATATAAACATACATTATGTTATTTGTATTTCTTATAAGTAAATAGTTTCTACCCCAATTTACATTTATAAACAGAATCAACATTTATAAAAATGAACATATCTATACATCAGCAATATTTATTATCAGATGTTAAAATTATAAGTGATTGTTACTTTCAATGTTTTTCTCGTTTTCCACAAAAAAACACTAACTACTTTAACAGTCAGGAAAAAAATACAATACTTTTCCTGTGAAAATTTTCTTCTTCAGTAATTTCCAAAGCTTATACTTGTAGAATAGTACAAGTAAATTCTCTAATAAGACTTTTAACTTTTTTAACTTTTTCTCTGAAATCTGTGTAAAAAGAGAATTGTAAAATGAGAAAATTTTTATGTTTAAGTTTATGCTTCAAATTATTATTAAATCAATTTTAAATCACCAAAATATTGCAACTATAATACAGTTTTATGCTGTCTAAAAACATTTCCATCAAAAAGTAGCTGCATGCACAGTGGCGAACCCATAGTATTGAATTGTATTACCTAGTGAGGATGTAGCCACATTAGTCTTTGTTAGAGGCACTCTATGGTGTTCACATTGCAGTAAAACTGCTCAGCAGAGCATATCACAGGACATATACATTCCTGTCATTAAACAGTGCATGACTGTACCATCTTTATCTTTATTTTATTTTATGACTGTATAAGAACTCATTTGTAAAAAACAATGCATTTGCCCTATTCAGTAAGTAACCTGTTAATTTGTGTTGCTATGTTTTTGTTTGGTAGGAAAAGACTCAGGCTGTGGAACTCTGGCAGAATGTTTCTGAGGAGTTAAACAGACTACAGAAACTTTACCAGGAACATATGACTGAAGCCCAGATTCATGTATTTGAAAGTCAAAAACAAAAGGTAATTGTAGACATTTTAAAAATTATAAATATAAGTAGGTAATCTTGGAGTTCATGATTTTCTTGTATATCAGTAAAAAAATTGCAAGCTCAACATGGTGACATGCATACCTGTAATCCCAGCACTTGGAGGGTTGAGTCAGGAAGATCATTGCAAGTTCGAGATCAATCTGATTTGCATAGTGAGACCCTGTCTCAGAAAGATGGGGGGGAAAAAAGAAAAGAAATTGCATTCTGAACAAAATGCTTTGGAGAGATACTTCTCTTTTTTTTTTTTTTTTTTTTTTTTTTTTTGCATGTATTTGCACTAAATGCATTTTACAGCCATCTTAGGGAGGCTTGTTTCTTTTTTTCTTATCCCCTTCCCTTTTCTCTTTCTCCTTCCTCCTCTAAGTCCCCTTCCTCCTTTTCCATTCTTGGATATTACTAATCTTAGTTCATGTCTATGGCATAGGGTGTCCACATTTATTGAGGTCATTAGGATCTTGCACATAGGATGATACGTGCACTGTATCTGTTTCCCCATTCCTTCCCTCCAGGCCATTGTCCTTGGTCCCCAGAACCCTTTGCTATCTGCAAGAAATCCATTCCATCTCCTTCAATCTTTTCTTTATTTTGTTTTGTTTTGGTTTTTTATTGAGGGGATGAACTTTGGAGATTTTGTTTGTTTGCTTTTGTTTTGTTTTGTTGTACTGGAAATTGGACCCAGGGCCTTCACACTGAGCTACATTTACATCCTTTCATTATTTTATTTTCATATAGTAATTTTTATGTTGCTGCATTGCCCCAGCTGGGCTGGAACCTTGAACTCCCCTCCTCTACTTCTTGTGCTGGGATCACAGGCCCAGGTTACTGCGCTGGGTTCACCAGCCCTTTTATTTTTATTTTGGGAGTTTCACTGAGTTTCCCAGTTTGGTTTTGAACCTGTCATCCCCTGCCTCAACCTGCTGTACTGTGTTTTTTTATGTTAGTAATTAGATCTCTGATACCGAGAAATCTCGGTACTGAGAAACTGGTAAGATAATTAAACCAAGTACACACTTGATTTTATAATGTGACAAACAGTGAAAGCAGTATCTAGGTCTACAAAGCAGATATAAAATTACTTTGTATAAATGGACCTCCATAGCTTTCCTTTGCTTAATTTCCTACTTGTTTCAAAAAAAAAAAAAAATTACTGGGTAATGTGCTGGTGAGGAGACTTGTTCAAAGATGGTGACCACCATGTAAAATGAAAATATTTACACTGTTAAATGTGACCTATTACTAAAATTTTCTCCTATAAATTAACCAGTAAAATTTAAAAATAGGAACAGATCTTAGCTGTTTTGAAAGTTTTTTCTATTCAAAGAAGTAGAGAGCTGAGGATATAGCCCAGCAGCATAAGTGCCTGCCTGGCAAGTGCGAGGTTGTGACTTTGATCCCCAGTACAAAAAAAAAGAAGAAGAAAAAGTAGATATTTTACAGTCTTTCAAAGTAGATACCTAACATTTGTTTTAAACCTCTGTTAACAAGAACTTACTACTTCATAACACCATCCATTGCATTGGAAAATCTGCCGCCTTTTTTCTTCTGTTGGTTCTTTTACTATTAAGTACATTGAGTATTGAAGGAAAATCCCAGTTCCTATTCCTTTTCTATGACCCTTGAGAAATAGCTACTTAAACATATTGGATATCATAACTCTCTATAATTCATTTATAGGTTTTTAAAATTCTAGTTCATGAGTATTTCTATTATTACCATTATAGTTGGGCTGAAGAAGTCATAATAATATATGGATGATTTTTTATACATGCTCTGTTTTGAAATAATCACATGTAATTTGTTCCAGAGAACCTTTCCCTCTGAAATCCAAAAACCATTTTTAATAAAAATAAATTCTTCCAGACTGTCTAGTTATTTAGGTCAATCACTTAAGCCCAAAAGGTATCTTTTTCACCTGAATTGCAGTTAGATTTTTTTTATAGGTAACTTTATAAGTACCATTTCATCTTTCCTTTCCTAGTTGTGTATTAATCTTTAAATCTGTCATCCAACATGTTAATAGTCTTTCTCAGCTTTGTATTATCTGTAAAAATAATGTATAATAGAATCATAACCATTAATAAAACAATTATAAACTTGCAGGGTACGAAAAACTTGAAATAGGGTTGGACAACAACTCTTTTGCCATGATTTACTTTGTAAGTTTGAAATAGGTTTGAATGTGGACAAGCTATCTCTAGCATTTGGAATTTCTAATCACTTATAATGTTTTGTAATATGTCTTTGAGTTTTAAAGTAGTATTTGCTAACAGATTTATTTAAATGTTGCTTCCTTAATTTTTTTCATTTTTTAAAGAGAAAAAAGAAAAACGAGAAAAACCAAGAAGCAAGCAAACCAAAAACCAACACAAAAGCAAAATGACAACAACAAAAAAATAGTAGCTATATAGGTTTTCAAAATAATATGATAGGAAATTAACAGTGGTTGTTATACTGCATATTGTTGCTCAGATTACCAGATACAGGAATAAACCAAAACATTAAAAAGGAACAAAATATTGGATTTCAAAAACAAGATAAGGGGCTGGGGATTTAGCTCAGCGGCATAAGTGCTTTCCTTGTAAGCAGGCAGTTGTGAGTTCAATCCCTGGTACCAATAAAAAAGAAAAAGACAAAAAAAAAAAAACCAAGATAAAAGGAAATCCCCCATAATACGTATTGTCATCCTCCAAATAGATGTTAGACTACCAGCTTTAGGCCTGCAAATTCAATCAAACAATACAAGCATTAAGTTATTTTTTTTGTTTACTTCAGTCACTGTTACCTCAATCTGAGTTCCTCCAAATTAGCCAGTTGCTTATGGTGGGGGTGCTCTTCTTGTCTCCCAGTCCTCGCACCAACTGACTCACAGGAAGGCATGATTTGGCTTCTTGATTCTCTTCCCATTCCCCATAGCCACCCCTGGCTCACTGGTTCAATTTTTAATCGTTTAAAGTATTTCTTACTTCTTTAACTACTGTTTCACACAATAATAGAAGAAATACTGATTTTGTCTATACTTACACATGATGGTTTTAAACTTAATTTTACTTCTGCTTTAAATATGTGTTATAAGGTGTTATTTACATACTTTCTATACCTTCCCACTAGGATCAGCTGAACAGCTTTCAACAGTTGGCCAAGAAACTTCATGTTACTAATGAGAACATAGAAATGGTAAGTGAAAATAACCATTTACTATATTTATTTATATACATTTGAAATTGTCACTTAGCAATCATTTATTATGCTAATTTAAATCAAGAAAAATTTGTACAAAATTAAAATGAGTAGAGAGTAGTTTTTTTACATTACTGTGACATAATTGATAGTACCCCTTGGAGATCTAATTAACATTTTTCTGAAATATAGCCTAATTTGAAAGTCCTCTTATAGTTCTTGGTAAGATCTCTTGAGAATAATGTGTACCTTGAAATCCTCATCATAGAGCAGATACGTTATTCTTTATTGTCTTAGTTACTTTTCTCTCGTTGCTGAGACAAAAATACCCGATATCCAAAGTTAAAGTGGAAAACATTTATTAAGCTCACAGTTTGTGGAGATTTAGTCCATAATAAGCTGGCTTCAAGGCAACTCCAAGGCAGGATGGCATTGCAAAAGAGAAACAATTGATGGCAGGCAGAAGGTAGCAAAACAATCAAAAGAGAAGGAAAGCCTCCTTCCGTGCCTCATTTTGTATCCAGATACTGGGATTAGGCCAGCACCAAAGCTATCAGCCACCTGATTTAATGATTACCCACCTTAGTTCCTAGCACCATTTATCCTAGCATCATTTATACATTCTAGATTTAGCCACCTCTGAAAAATCCCCACCTATAACTGCAGGAAGCATTGGGGACACCTAAACACAAGCCATAACATTTATATTTAATCAGCACACATGCAGGTATATAAGAATAACATAAATCTTTTGTCAAATGAATAAATTGGTTATTTTCTAAAAATACAATTAGGAAATGTAGAACCTAATGCTAAATCTATGTACTAAAACAAATTTAATTAGTCATCTCAAGGCCTTTTATTCTCATTTCCCTTAGCTTTTTGGCATTTTATTTTTACTCACTATTGAGTAATAAAATTGTGATGCCCCAGATAATCCCTCTTTCTTCTTTCCTTTATTCTAGTTCAGCAGTCTCCTTATTCTTATTAGTACCTAATATATATGTTTTCATTGAACAATAGAGTGTCATCAAAAGTTAGATACCCAATTCTATTGTAACACAAAATTTTTCCAGCTTAATATATGTAAAAAAAAATTATTAAATGTCTTTCTGGTACTTACATTAACTTTGGAATTTCTAATCACTTTTATGGTAGTATACTTCTTAGACCTTTATAATACTATTAAATTGCTCTAGAATGAAATATTAATGAGTTCTAGATTAAATAACCTATTTTTAATATTCCTACATGCAATGAATACTTCAGTCTAATAAATATTCCTTTAAAAGTAAAACTTTTCAAAAATCACAGGGAAATAAAACCTCAGAGAGTTTATTATCCCCAGGCCCAACATTTTAGGTGACACCAAAGTAGGTTTAAGAAAAGTATATTAAACAGTAACACAGTGCCCTAAGAAACTGAAATTCATTAATAAAAGTATATATAGACAAATCATAATACTGTGTTACTATACTGGCGTTAAATAAGTCACTCTTAATTGTAATATAAAAACTAAAAGGCAAAAGTGCTTGAAATGACTATAAGAAATATATTAGAAGATACATAGCATGAGTAAACATGAGTTGTATCAATAATAAAAAGTGTGAGAAAGAAAAACAGTTTTATATAAAATTGAAATTACTTATCAGTTTAAAATACACTGTTACAACTCCAGATGTTTTGTATATGCCAAAGAGTCCCCCCAGAATGAGAAGTTACACATAAAGAAAAAAAAGGGAATTAAAACATGTCTCTAGAATATAGCAAATAAAAAAAAGAATACAACAAGAAAGGAAAAACAGACAAAAGAACTACAAAGAAACTACCAGCAAACAACTAACAAAACGATGATACTAAATCCGTCCCTACCAACAATTACTTTAAATGTAAATGGATTAAACTTCCCAATCTGAAGGTTTAGAGTGACTCAATGGATTAAAAAACAAGGAGGAAGATGGCAAAATGGTAGTAACTTTCGTTCCACTCAATTTTTCAGAAGAATGAATAATCCTAAGAAAGGAGAAATTTCATTTAGAGAAAACAACCAAGTGTCCTGAAGACACTTGAAAACTAAATTGACAACTTTACATTCAGAAAACCAATTTTAAGAGTTATTGAAATGCAAGAGGACTTGAAATTCAGATTAATTAGTGAAAAGATTATTTGTTAAATAATACCAAAAATTTTGCCAAATCTTTTCTTTTTTCTTTTCTTTGGGGGTGTGGGGTTTGAACTCGAAACCTCGCACTTGCCAGGCAAGCACTTATGCAACTGAGCTAAATCCCCAGGCCCTCCCAAATCTTAACAATACAATGTTTATACATGTGTGTCTGGTTCATTTCACTTATGAGTATTGTTCTAGTTGCCTCCATTTACCTATAGAAGTCCCCAATTTACCCTTCTTTATGGCAAAGTAGTATCCCATTGTATAAAAATACATCTTTTTTAAAAAGAGAATTTTTTAAAAGCCAATAAAACTAATGTACATCTCTTTTTATCCATTCCTTGGGGTTGATGGACATTTGGATCATTTCCAAGATTTAGCTATTATAAATTGTGCTGCTCTAAATATGGGTGTACATATATTACTGTGGTACAGTGTTTTTAATTCTTCTGGAAAGATACCCAGAAAGGGAATAGCTGAATCAGATGAGACCTATAGTCCTAGGTGTTTGAGAAATTCCACAGTGATTGCACTCAGTCTGTACTCCCACCAACACTATAGCCCCTCCAGCATTTGTTATTGGTTAATTTCCTGATAATAGCCATTTTTTCTGGTGTGAGGTAAAATATTAGTGTTGTTTTAATTTGCATCTCTCAAATGACCAGTGATATTGAACATTTTTTTCATATATTTATTTGCTGTTTGTATTTCTTCATGTGAGAAGTGTGCATTCATCTCAGATGCCCATTTTTGGATTGAGTCTTTAAATTTGGGAGGTCTGATTTTATGTATGTATTTATTTATTTATTTTAGCATTTTCTGTGTTTTTGATAGGAATTCTGTGTCTGACGAACAGCTGGCTAACATTTTTTTTCCAGTATTGTGGATTGTCTCTTCATTCTGTTGGTGGTTTCTCTTGCTGTGCAAAAGCTTTTTTATAAAATGAGATCTCAATTGTTCATTCTTTCTGAAATTCCTGTGCAGTCAGGATTTCATTCATGAAATCATGCTTATATCAGTGTCTTCAAGAGTTTTATCTACTCTATCTTCCAACAGATTTAATGTTTTATTTTAATATTTATATCTTTAATCCACTTTGAATTTAGCACATAATGAAAGATATGGGTCCAATTTTAATCTTCAGCATGTGTAGAACCAGTTTTTTCAGCACCACTAATTAGAGTCTGTTTTTCTTCCAGTGAATGTGTTTGGCTCCTATGTCAAAGATAAAGTGGCTTAAGGTGTCTGGGGCTGTTTCTGTGTCTTCTAATCTGTTCCATTGACCTTCAGGTCTGGTTTTTTTGTTGTTTTTTTCTTTTTTGTTGTTGTTGTTTTGTTTTTTGTTTTTTTTTTTGTAAGTACCATGCTGTTTTTATCACAATAACTTTATAGTAAAATTCCACATCAAGATTGTCCCCTGGATTTGCCTTTGGTGAACTGGTTATCTCGGCTTGCGTCTTATTTAAGTGTCTTTTCATTTTCTCTACTTTTTTTAGTTTAATTTCTGGGCAATGCTTGTCCGTTGCCTTGGGGGTGTTCCTTTATTTTAGTATGTAGAAACCTTAGGAAATGACTACTTCTCTGAGGTATCTTCCAGGTGTGGCTGGTTTTTGGGTTTTGAGTCTGTTGCAGGATTCTACCTATTCAGTTTGTTGGGGATGAGAAATTGCTGCCTATTTGGCCCAGTCCCTGGTTCTTTGGCAGTGTGCAACAGTATTTTCTATAACCCTTAATCAAGCTGAGTCTTGGAATACCAGGAAGAACATTTGTTTAGAACAGTTGTCACTACATAGCCTAGAAAATGACAAACTGAGCTAACCATTAATTTGCCACTTTTAGCCATATGAACTGATTTGTGGTTACATACCAAAATCTGAAACAAACTAGGAAATTATATGAAGTATACAAGTCCTTAATATGTCAATTTTTCCCCCAGGGGCTAAAATTTGAAATGGATTAGGAGAAAATAGAGATGTGGGAGAAGAGAAAGAGATTAGAAGTAAGGCTGGAGAACAAAGGGCGAGCATGCTAACTTTGGTAAACTGGAGCAGAAGACTGCAGGAAAACAGAGAGGGAAGAGATTTTGAAAAAAGAACAAAACAGAGCCACACTACACAGAGGCTACAAACCACATTCACACTCATCCAAAAACAAGAATAACAATGAAGGAGAAAAGAAAATGAGAGCAAAATCACTACCACAACCACAAAAAAACAAGAGCAAGAGGAAAACAAAAACAAAAAAGTCCATTTCCAAGTCTGTCTGTGCTGTAACTGGAGGACTACATGTGCACAAGATCCCTGTTGATTTATCCCAGCAAGCCAGAAGTAGCTTTTTGGCAGAAAATAGATAATCTCAGTGAGTCTACACTTTCTTGCCCAAAGCAGACACATTCAGCCTGCAGCCATCAGTACACCTTCGTTAGGCTGAGCCCAGATGGTAGCTGCTAGATGGAGTGGGCAGCAGTTCTGAGGTCTGATCTCAACCATCTCCATCTCATCTCCGGGGTGGCTCCCGGCCAATCACTGTCTCATGGGACTATTGAGCCCTCAGCACTCACTGCTAGTTAGTGCAGTCTTCATGCCAGCTGCTCCACTCCACTGTCCAAGACCTGTAGGGTCACCAGCCATCACCATCACCATGTGAATGGAAGTGTGAGTCCTGTCTCAGGGAGAAGGTGCTGCCAGCTACCTCCTCCTTCTTCACCAAAGTTTCTCTCTTCACCCTCTCTGTGTGCATCAATTCACGCTTGAGATTCTTCCTGGGTCCAGGAGATCCACTTCTCTCCTCATCTTCCTAACATTGCTATATTCTAGTATTCGAACAGTGA